CAGTTTGATTTCTTAATCCTCCTCCCGTTCCATCCTTAAGAGGTGATAACTCGTAAAGAGCAGCTTCCAAAATTTAAATGGCAAAGAACCCCTTATGGTAACTCGATTGATAAACTTTTTATAGTGGGTTCAAAAGAGGTTGTCAGACTCATTTAATAAACAACGGAAATACTCATCGAAATAAATTCAGAAAAGAAAATGAGAAAAACTTTGTCTTATCTATGAGGAAGCATATGCTGATATGATTTCTTGACGAATCCCAACCTGTGACACCTCCATATTTTTAGATATATTGAAATGAACTTTACTTCCCAGCCAGTAAAAGAAGCCATCACGATACTGGAAAGAGTTTTTTTTGAAGCGGTAGAAATTTCTCCTTGGTAATAAATAGTTAAATATGGTCATCTGAACAAAAGTTGCTATAACTATGGCTGATCCGAAAGGAACTGCTCCACATCCAGCGAATATTTTCAAAACGTTACATTTTCACGAGAAGGCCATGTACTTCTTTGAATTATCTATGACAATGAACAAGTAGAGAATTGGTGTAAGTTTTAAAGGCAGTTGCCCTTCAGCTTAGAAGATTTACGACCATTGTCGTCCTCAAGTTATATGATATGATTAAGCCTGCCAGGAGGATGCATCTCAATAGTCTACCATTACAGCATGATGTGTATGTCAGTTAATGGGACTAGATTCAGAGTCCAAAGCGAGTCGCATCAGAACAACATGCATTTGAGGTTATTATATTCAGACTATGCTGTCTCCTCATTCGAAATACTCTTACCCCCAGTCACATACAAGTTAATAAATATGATGTAGTTATCTTCCATCATTGAATCAAGATGATCATTGTCGGCATCGGCATAAAGTTTCACCGTACAAATAGCTCAAACTTGGCTGAACAACGTTCCCTGCAAGTGACCGTCGATGGACATCTCTCGAATACTTTTACTATCAACGCTGGTGTTCCCCAGGGATCCATATTGTCTCCAACCCTCTTTTTATTGTATATTCACGGCTTACACGCCTCAGCAACTTTTGATGCTTCATAAAGCTGAGATCAGACCTTCTTTAAAGTATTGTCCTCATGTATGGAGCTCCACCCCTAAGCATACCCTGAAGCTGCTGGATTCCATCGAGTAAGAGCCATCCGCCTGATTGGACATTCGAAAATCACTTGCAACCTTGACAGTCTGAAACATCGAAGAAAGGTTGGAGATTTGTTTTCCTTTCATAGATACTTTCACCATTTGTTTCCACCAAGAGCGGTACATATCAGAAATACGCGACGGATTGTGGCTGCTCATCGTTTTGAGGTTCAACTCAGTACACCTCGAACTTCTCTGCTTAAGAACTCTTTCATTTGGAGAACTGTGTGTGTGTGTGTGTGTGTGTGTGTGGAATACACTTCCTGAGAACGTTTTTCCAAATGAATTTAATCTACTTTAATCTACTTTCGCACAGGCACCGCTCTTAGAGCGCCTTAAAAAGTTTCCTGTAGTGCTTGTGTTCTGCCTTGAAAAAAAAACTGTATAGGGAACGTTCTGTTGGTATTCAGTATGGTTTAAGTTGGTGCAGGTTAAAATAAATCGATAATCAAATTCTCCCAAATGTTTCTACCGATCTCTTATCGAAATCACAAAACGACAACTAGTCAAGAATTAGATTTCTGATAACAAAGTTATTCAAATAATAGAGACATTATTGTTGGTCCAGTTGCATATTTCTATTGAAATGATTGTAACAATTGTAACAACAGATATTGATAATATACCAGTACGATTCAGATTATTTCTACTATTCCAAATCAATTATTCGTTTTCAATCACTAGGAAGGTAACTTCTAAAAACAAACAATATTATTTGAATAGTATGAAGAATGCGTTTTATGCTAAAGTGCGTTTAGTTCCGTAAAAGTTTACAAAACGGGTGTAAAATTTCTCTAAAACTAAATCAGTAAATTCATTTCTAGGTTCTATAATGCTATAAAAGACATGTAAAAACTTGATCTTCATTTTGACATAATTCTAATACTTCAAATTAGATTTATGATAAGCCAAATAGCTTGGCTCAGAAAGTTTCCACCAGAAAAAATCAACCTGTAGAATAGTTAAGCATATTGACAATGAACAACTTTTTGGTGGACGATGCCGTATTTCTACATTGAAGTTGCTCAAATTAGCAAAGAATGCGTCCACGAAATAGTTTTACTTTTTACAAGAAGCACCCCCACCAAACTCTCAAAACTCTTCGCCATCAAAAAAGGTCGTCGCAAAAGGTTTCGCAAATGAAGTCAGAGCTAGTCGTATTCATGGACACGCGGTAGTCCTGCTCTGCTCAATTAGAAACAAACGTCTTCTTAAGACAAAACAGATAGGGAGTGCGAAGCATGCAGCACAGAGAAACATCTAGGTACCATTCGTGCAAGCCTGACGAAATGCCTTCAAGAAGTTTTTAGTGAAAAGTCAGTGGAAATACCTACGGTTCAATATTGAAGTATAGTCTAAACGAAGTCAATCCGAACAGGTAAATAAAATACTAATGGAATTAATCTTTACTACTAATTAAAATATCCGTTTAGTTTCATGAAAAATAAAATTGATTTTGAAAAAAAATATATACAGTGCATTTCTTTAATGCCCCTCCCCCTTTTATTTTATAATCGGGTCAACTCAAAAAATTTAAATTCGGGATAATTAAATTCATGCATGAATACTTTATTTTGAAGTGAAATTGACAGATGAAACTTTCAAGATTAATGGCAACTTGTGTTCCATTTCTTTGAGTGTGGTTGAAAATCTTTATTCATCATCGAAAAACATTTATTTAATATTTGTAATTGAAGTAAGAAATTATCGCATTGAAATGTTTGGATAGAATGATAAAAATCAGAAGTGAAAATAATATAAAGGAGAAATCTACTGAAAACACTTTACCCCCACCAGAACAAAAATGCTGTCTCTCAACAAATGTTTTGCTAACCAAATCAGCATCATCAGGATATGACGTTTTTTCAGTCGTCTCCTGATGATGCTAACTTGGTTAGCGAAACGCGCGTCGAGAGACAGTATTTATGTTCTGGTTCACATTAGAGGTTCAAATTCTACGTTTCAAATGAAGAAGAAACTTGAAATAATCAAAAATAAAAAAACTGTTGGAAATGGAATAACTGCGAGTTGAAAAAATGAAATTATTTGTAAACCTGGAATATGTTATTTGAAATTAACGACGGGAAATATATATGAAAGGAATAACAATGAAACTGAAATATTTCAAGTCGTTTCAACTGTGGAGATTTTTCATTATAGTTTCTCTCAGTATAGTTC